AAACAATTAACCCGGGGATAGTTCTAGTGTGTTGTGCCAGGAAGCGATATAACAGCTTCCTATTGGACGATACTGTGTGTGTGTGTGTGTGTGTTTAATTAGCGATACAAATACAAACATAAAAATTAAGTCACTGTTTTGTTTTTTGTCGAAGTCTAACCCATTCTCTCTCTCCCCCCCCACAGGTAAGTTGACCAGGTGTAAACACAGAGAGAAACCCATATGTATACCAGGTGTGAAGACAGGTAAGTGCGAGTCACCTGTAGTTAATTACTAAAATCATTCATCGGAATATTAAAAGGTAAATAGCTAATATACAAAGACCTTAAACCACACAAAAGGAACCTACGAGAGAAGACGATAATTAGATAAAAATAGACGACACGTTGAAGGTATTTTACGGTGAAGGAAACAAACGAGGAATTGTTAACGACGTGTGAGCTTGTTGGGATGGTTAGGTGAGATATTTTGTGCTTTGCCCTTATTTTATTTCCTTTTTCTCTTTCTTTCGCGTCCCCTCTGCCACCCACTCCCCCCTTGCCACTTCCACCACACCCCTCGTCTCCCCTTCCCTTCTCCCAGACCAACTCCCCCTTCCCCTCCCAGACCAACTCCTTTCTTCCCTCCTCCTCCCAGACCCCCCCTCCTCCTCCCAGACCCCCCCTCCTCCTCCCAGACCCCCCCCCTCCACCTTCACCGGGATAACACCTGCCTGTTTGTATTGACATTAGCGGAAATGCTTCATATACGGGCATAGATTTGTGAGTATAAAGCCACATTGCAGTATATTCAACCCCATAATAACGTCGATATACCTGGGAGACATTATGTTGTGTGTTTATATAGATATTGTTAATGGAACTCCAGCATCACACCTAAACCTAGCATTGCGGAGTATCGTACACTTGATGATAATGAAGTATTAGTATTACACCTGGAGAGAAACATTGACTGGAACTTTGGGTAATTGTGAAGCAGATAAAGAAGAGAATGGAGGATAGACACAGAAATAAAGACAAAGGAGGAAATGGACGAGAGAGAGATTGAGACAAGGACATAGAGAGACTAAGAGAATAATAAAGGTAGATAAGAAGGGAAGAGGGGGGGAGGAATGAGGCGGTGTTGTCAGGACAATAATTTGAGTTTCCTGTTTTGTGTTGAGTTGTGATGACTCCATTGTTGTGCTGTCTGTCTGCATGTCCGTCGCTCTCTTTGTATCTATCTATCTATCTGTCTAAGTATCTCCTCAGCTAACTGCGAGAGTAAAATATATTGCAAGAGAAAGAGAGTGAGGGGGAGGGGGGGATGATGAGACATAAATAGAGAGAGAGAGAGAATGGTCAAGTGGAGATCAGTTCAATGAAGGTGTGACAGTTTAATTTCTCGTTTCACTCTCTCTCTCTCTCTCTCCCTGTCGCGTTCTCGATCTCGACCTCATAACTCCCTTCAGGTCTCGCTGCTCTAGGTGTAGGTGTTGGTCTCTACAGATCCCAGTTCTCTTGGAAGTCTACGTCTGGATTTACCCCTCAAGCTTAGCTCCCCTCAAGCCTACCCTCCAACCTACCCCTCAAGCCTCAGCCCCCCTCAAGCCTACCCCCCTCAAGCCACCCCCCCTCAAGCCTACCACCCCGCAAGCCTACCCCTCAAGCCTACCCCCTCAAGCCACCTACCCCCTCAAGCCTACCCCCCTCAAGCCTACCCCCTCAAGCCTATCCCCCCTCCGGCCTACCCCCCTCAAGCCTACCCCCCACGTCCCTGACACGACAAGGAAGTGTCACGTATTCAGATGATCAGGTTAACACGCCTTTTACCCACCGGAGGAAGACTCAGCCATCCTCAAGTGCTTCCTGGTGTTGCCGTGACCAGGTGGTGATGGTGGTGTTGTTGGCGGTGGCGGCGGTGGTGTTAATGATGGTGAAGATGGAGTTGGTGATGGTGAAGATGGAGTTGGTGATGATGGTGGTGTTTATGATGGTGGTGATGGTGGAGATGTTGGGGGGGGTAGTGCTGATGGTGTTGGTGGTGGTGGTGTTGATTATGGTGAAGATGGTATTGGTGGTGATGGTGGTGTTAATGATGATGGTGGTGGTGGCGAGGTCATCCTAAAACTATATCTTGGGCTTGTGAGACCTCACTTGGATTATGCAGTTCAGTTTTGGTCACCATACTACAGAATGGATATAGAATCACTGGAAAGCAAACAGAGGAGGATGACAAGACTAATCCCGGGCATTGGGAACCTTGAGTACAGAGACAGGTTAATGCATCTTAATGTGCACTCCCTCGAGAGACGTAGAGTGAGGGGCGATATGATAGAGGTGTATAAATGGAAGTCAGGGTAAAACGAAGGAGATATTACAAAGGAACTTAAACTTTCCAACCAAGAGCGAACTCGTATTAATGATGGTGATGATGGTGTTGGTGGTGTTAATGATGGTGGTGTTCGTGTTGGTGGTGGTGATAGTATTAGTTGTGATGGTGCAGGATGTGGTGGTGGCAGTGTAGATGATGGTGCGGGGTATGGTGGTGGCAGTGTTGATGTTGCAGGGTATGGTGGTGGCAGTGTTGATGATGGTGCGGGGTATGGTGGTGGCAGTGTTGATGGTGCAGGGTATGGTGGTAGCAGTGTAGAAGATGGAGCAGGGTATGGTGACGCAGATGTCTGAACAGTGGCTTAGTGGCCAGTGTATGTTCGTTAATCCTCGACCTTGTCCTCATCACGACCTGTCAGTGGCGGAGGAGGGGAGAGATGCAGGGGAGGTGAATAGATAGGATATGAGGGAGAGAGAATGGGAGAGGGGGCGTGCCATTCCCGGAAAGTAATCCAGGGCTTGACATCCCCTCACTCTCCCCCTCCCCCTTCCTCTGTGCAGGGGACGTAGATTTATAAGGTCAACTCAGTGATGGTTTCATTGAGGGGTAGACTTGCATGGGCCACCCCCTTCCCCCATTCCCCTCCCTCTCCCTTGCCCCTCTTCCCACTTCCCTTCCCACCCCCTCCCGAGGTCACTTCCAAGATTGCTAGCAACACCCTTGAGGTCATTTGGCTTGTGTAGCGCCGCTAATTTGTCCGTGTCATTGAGGATAAAGTGTAGAATTTTTCAGGGCGGGATAGAGACAGGATTTAAGCGGTTGTGGGTTAATGTGGGAAGAAGGGGTTTAAGCGGTTGTGGGTTAATGTGGGAAGAAGGTTTAAGCGGTTGTGGGTTAATGTGGGAAGAAGGGGTTTAAGCGGTTGTGGGTTAATGTGAACTTTAGTCGTCAAATGTAACCAATATTTACATAATGTGTGATTCTTTCTCTCGTTAAGATTATAAATAAACTCTTAAGGTACTCAGGTCTATAATAGCACCTCGGAGTTATAGGTTAAGGTATAATAATTATATAATCTATCCGTGTTGAAAAATATATTTAAATGTGAAAAAAGTGTGAATAAGAATTGCCCAGAAATGTGTTTACTGAGACATATTGAAGAGAAACACACTCACCTGGGATAAACATTACCAGTCAGTCAGTCAGTCAACCAGTCAGTCCGTCAACCAGTCATTCAGTCAACCAGTCATTGTCAATTAGTCTGTCAGTCAGTCAGTCAATCAGTCAGACAGGCACTCAGTCAGTCAGTCAGTCAGTGAGGGAGACTTGGATATACTCTGAGCTTTTAAAGTAAGGGAAGGTGTTGAAGCCAAGATGAGTGACCTTGTTTTATAAAGACCCACTGCCACCCACCCCGGCCTGCCACCCACCCACCCCGGCCTGCCACCCACCCACCCGGCCTGACACCTCCCCGGCCTGACACCCTCCCCGGCCTGCCACCCACCCACCCCGGCCTGCCACCCTCCCACCCCGGCCTGCCACCCACCCACCCCGGCCTGCCACCCTCCCACCCCGGCCTGCCACCCTCCCACCCCGGCCTGCCACCCTCCCCGGCCTGCCACCCACATCGCCTGCAACTCCCCGGCCTGCCACCCACCTCGGCCTGCCATCTCCCCGGCCTGCCACCCACCCGGCCTGCCACCCTCCCCGGCCTGCCACCCTCCCCGGCCTGCCACCCTCCCCGGCCTGCCACCCACCTTGGTCTGCCACCCACCTAGGCCTGGCACCCAAGTTTGTGACCCACCTACCTTCTGGGTGGGTGTAGTACCTGTGTGGGTGGAAGTACTATGTGTGGATGGTTGTACCTGTGTGGATGGTTGTAGTACCTGCGTGGATGGTTGTATGTACATGTGTTTGGATGGTTGTAGTACATGTTTGGATGGTTGTAGTTCCTGTTTTGGATGGTTGTAGTACCTGTGTGGATGGTTGTGAATAGATGTGACTTATTGTATGGTTAAGTGAAGGGTTTTGGGATTGTTAACGGAAGAGGGCGGGATGGAAGGAGGGAGAAGAAGAGGACAGAGGCAGGGTGGAAGGAAGAAAGGGAGGTGGAGACAGGAGGAGGAGTAAGAAAGAGCACAGAAGGAGGAAGGGGGATAGGACAAGGAGGTGAAGAGAAAGTGGATAAAGTAAGGAGGGAGGGGCGAAGGAAGGGAAAGAGACTAGGAGAAAGAAGGAGGGGAGAGGAGAGAAGGGAGGGAACAGCACCACAACAAACCTTTACTCAAGTAGTAGAAATTTCTGCAAGTAGGCCAGTAGTACTACACCCATGGGAGACGTATGGGTGTGGGGGAGGAGGGGGGGGAGGTGGGGAGGTGTGGGTGTGGGGAGGTGAACGTGTGGTGTGTGGAGGTGAGGAGAAGGGTGGAGGTGTGGGGTGTGGGTGTGGGAAGTGTGGGTGTAGGGAGATCAGGAGTGTGGGGAGGGGAGGTGAGGGGTGTGGGGAGGTGAAGGTCAGGGTTGTGAGTGTGGGGAGACAGACTTCGTGAACGTGGAAGGGGAGAGAGAGAGAGAGAAGGGGTGAGGGAGGGAGGAGGGAGAGAGAGGAAGTAAGTGAGAGAGATGGGGTGAGGGAGGGAGGGAGGAGAGTGAGAGAGAGAGAGAGAGAGAGAGTGGAGGTGGTGGTACAGTGTGTGGGCAGCGGGAGTGGTGGCAGCATCACACACTCAGTGCCAGACTGCCAGTGCCCCCCTCACTGTCTCCTCCGCCACACACTTGTATAGTAAATTCTCCATATAGTCAAATATATCATGACTGAATACATGTATAAATAGTAATATGTATACACTGTGTATACTCAATGCTGTAGTCTATATGTATACTTAGTGATTCAGTGTCTGTTGATAACACTTTAGAAATTATGCAGTGTTTTAGTGTGAACAGTGACGTGTTGTTCTACTGTTGAAACCATTATGTATCTGTCATCGTCAAAATGTCATCGTCACACACCTGTTGATGAGTGAAGAGTGACGTGTGTTACTACTGTTGAAACTATTAAGTCTATCTATGTCATCGTCACACACCTGTTGATGAGTGAAGAGTGACGTGTGTTACTACTGTTGAAACTATTAAGCGTATCTACGTCATCGTCACACACCTGTTGATGAGTGAAGAGTGACGTGTGTTTGAGAGTCCTTGTGTTAGACGTCTCCATATAGTGTTATCCATACTAGTTATCATGACACCTGATGTACCGCATGTGAACGATCCAACTTGTACTGGGCAGGAAGGGGAGATAATTAACAGGTAGACAAAGGTAAAGAGGGTTAAAATAGATCATTATAGTGACTGGGTGATGATGAAATATATGGTGATGAAGGTTGTTGTGATGGTGATGGTGATGATAGTGAAGGAACTTAGTTAAAATGACTTTGAAAAAAAAATGGTGAGATATACCTGTAGGTGGTTAGTTATGGTGATCTACAGTGACTTAAGTGTATGGTGACAATTACTCTCGGTGTTTGATAGTGACGTCATGAAGGATAGTGAGGAATAGTGAGAGGTTTTTGTGGATAGTTATGGCATCATTGTAATGGATATTTATGACAACATTAGTGGATAGTTTATATGGCAACACTGTAGTGGATAGTTATGGTAACACTGTAGTGGATAGTTATGGTAACACTGTAGTGGATAATCAGAGGTTGCGTGATAATCATATTTCACCTCGTGAACGATGTTGGCGGGAATGCTGACAGTGACAATGTTCCAGATGAACCACGGACACGCAGTAAACAAGATTAGGGAGAAACTTAGATTAATTGAGGGTTAATTATGACGATAACTGATGTGACGGTCGTTAGCGGGTAATTGTCCTCGTAACGGTGGGTGGTGTCGGTAGCTGGAGATTATATAATTAGGGAGGTAATTACTGTGTATAGGTGTGATTAGCGTTACTAGTTTATGAAGAGTGAGTAGTTAAGGGGAGAAGGGTGAGTGGATGGTTGTGTAGTGTAGGAGTGGATGGTTGTGTAGGGTAGGAGTGGATGGTTGTGTAGTGTAGGGGTGGATGGTTGTGTAGTGTAGGAGTGGATGGTTGTGTAGTGTAGGAGTGGATGGTTGTGTAGGGTAGGAGTGGATGGTTGTGTAGGGTAGGAGTGGATGGTTGTGTAGTGTAGGAGTGGATGGTTGTGTAGGGTAGGAGTGGATGGTTGTGTGGGGTAGGAGTGGATGGTTGTGTGGGGTAGGAGTGGATGGTTGTGGGGTAGGGTGATGGTTGTGTGGTGTGGAGTGGATGGTTGTGTAGGGTGGAGTGGATGGTTGTGTGGGGTAGGGAGTGGATGGTTGTGTGGGGTAGGGTGGATGGTTGTGTGGGGTATGGTGGATGGTTATTGTGGTGTGTGGGGAGTGGATGGTTGTGTGGGGTAGAGGTGGATGGTTGTGTGGGGAGTGGATGGTTGTGTAGGGTAGGAGTGGATGGCAGGTAGTGGATGGTTGTGTAGTGTAGGAGTGGATGGTTGTGTAGTGTAGGAGTGGATGGTTGTGTAGGGTAGGAGTGGATGGTTGTGGATGGCAGGTAGTGGATGGTTGCGATTATTTAGTGATGAGTGAGTCTTTGATAATGACGTTAATGTTTCAGGGCGAAACTCATTGGGTAATGCTTCTCTGACGTCATTGATGTACTAGTAAACGATGTTGATCATTAGCTTGGATGCTATGACGTCAGTAATGTCATAAGAGGATAAATAGAATTGGCCGAGTTCAGTGACGCCAGTTACTGTGTGTAATATAAAAAGTTACGTATAATTACTTCTTGCCTTGGTGTCGTCATCCTTGATAATTGTCATTTGGCTCTCTCTCTCTCCTTCACTACTGCTCTCTCTCTCCTTCACTACTGCTCCCTCTCTCCTTCACTACTGCTCTCTCTCTCCTTCACTACTGCTCTCTCTCTCCTTCACTACTGCTCTCTCTCTCCTTCACTACTGCTTTCTCTCTCTCCTTCCTGCTCTCTCCTTCACTATTGCTCCCTCTCTCCTTCACTGCTGCTCCCTCCCTCCTTCACTACTGCTCCCTCCCTCCCTTCACTACTGCTCCCTCCCTCCCTTCTTTTGCTCCCTCTCTCCTTCACTACTGCTCCCTCTCTCCTTCACTACTGCTCCCTCTCTCCTTCACTACTGCTCCCTCTTTCCTTCACTACTACTCCCTCCCTCCTTCACCCTGGTCGTTAGTGGTGACAGCCATGGACCCCTGGCCAGACACAAGGTGACCTCTGACCCCTCGTGAGGACCGCCTCAGGGCGTCTGGCTTAGCAACGCTCAAGTCTTGTGTATACACTCTACTGTACACTATTATTTCCAACACTCAGACGTGAGATGTGATGGCGGCGGGTGTTTGGGCAGTGAGAGTTACTGTGGGTAGCAAGTACTATACCACGGTGACCTTTATTAACTCCCGTGGGAGATGACAAGTGGTGGTGAATGGTGGTGGCGGTGGTTGTTTTGGTGGTGGTGGTGGTTGTTTTGGTGGTGGTGGTGGTGGTGGTTGTTTTGGTGGTGGTGGTGGTTGTTTTGGTGGTGGTGGTAGTAGTAGTAATAATAGTTATTACTCGTGGTGTGAGAACTACTTATGTGCCATAATTAGTTAAGGAAGCGTTATGGTATATATCTAATGCTCTTCTGGTATAATATTTGTGTATTTTAACTACTACGGTACCATACACATCTTCACATATCTTTATAACTCTGAACCCAAACCTCTAATACATACTAATATAACACAAGAAGTATAGTGTATATACTGTGAAAAGGTTATATTATTGCAAGACTCAAGAGTAGAAACAGACTATATTTACATTGGCTGCCGTTCATTCGCTCTTACTGATGTTGATAAGCGAGTGAGTGAGAAGCGGTCAGCAGAGGTGAACGGTCGCCTCCTTAATTCTGCTGTGGAACTTTTCTCCTTTAAGAGACGCTGAGTGAAACTAGTACATCCACAGTGCATCTACACAAACACACGACACTTACATGATGCCTTCAATTTCTTTCATCTGTTTTGCTGAGTTTGTTTATAAACTTTGAGCTGTGTCGTCATGCTCAAGTAACGCGACACCGTCAGAGGCCCCTCACACCTAGGCTGGCCTGTGTGTGTGTGTGCGCACCCCGGCTCCCAGATGAGGGCCAGTTCACTGAAATGCCTATTGGGATCAACGAGCGCCTCATGACGCCCCAACACTTAATGCAGAGGACGACATTAAGGAGGTCTTTTGCGCCGACCTTGGCAGAGTGCTAAACTGTATCCCCAAAGAAGACAAGGTTGTGCTCCTTGGCGACTTCAATGCCAGAGTTGGCAGAGATGCTAGCATTTGGCAGGGAACCATAGGGAGAAATGGACTAGGCAAGTGTAATCCCAACGGCCTACTCCTCCTCAGCAAGTGTGCTGCGCACAGCTTCACTATCACCAATACCTTGTTTAGGCAGGCTGACAAGTTCAACGGTTCGTGGCAACACCCACGATCCAAACACTGGCATCTCATTGACTACATTGATGTCAGAGAAAGGGATTGCTGAGATGTCCTCATCACCCGTGCCATGAATGGCTCAGACCACTGTGACACTGATCATCGACTTGTCATGCCAAGCTTTCACTCCACGTCGCCCCAAAACGGCGAAGGCAGCAAGCCTCACGTTACAAGAGTAGAAGCTCCAAAAGTTGCTGGTAGCGAAAGTCAGAGCGTGAAAGATGACAGGGGAAGAAGCAAAGGGGTTAGGAAGGGAATTGTAGTGGTAGAGATAGAACCGTGGCTTTACACGACTGCGTTTATTTGGTTAGCGCACAGCGCATGTATTGGGTTTTGTCTGTGTTGGGTGTGTGGTCCTCGGGTCACCACTCCTCCGGATTGTGCTCGTTACAAGAGTAGAAGCTCCAACAACTTTCCCTGAATACGAATTCGCAACTTTTCGATTTACAGCAGGTACCAACTTACTGCTAGGTGAACAGGGACCAAGGAAGAGTGTCCAAACAACTTTCCGCCGGCCCGGGTATCGAACCCGTGACATCTCGCTTGCGAGGCAAGAGCGGTACCGCTCTACCACCGGCGCCCCCTGCAAGCCTCCAGAAGAGGTTTAAATACAAAGCGTCCGGAGGACCCAGCAGTAGCACATGCTTTCAGAGAGCAGCTCGAACATGGGCTTTTAAACAACCCAACAGCAAACAATGCGAATCCCAGTGCCGAATGGGATGCTCTCAACACTGTTATGACAAAACCTGCAGAGAGACCATCGGCCAGATCAAAAGAATACACCAGGACTGCTTTTACTGACTGGCAGAACAATTCTCAGTCTCGGACCAAAGCTGACACCTTCCGCAAGAAGAAAGCGGCAGCCCAGAGGGAACTTCCCATTCCAAAAAATGACTGGCTTAAAAATAATGCATGTGAAATACAAAAACATGCAGATCAGCGCAAGCTGCACGAATTTTTCAATTCCATTAAAATATTTTATGGGCAATCCCCCCTCTGCTCGCCTGACGGTAATTTCATAATTAAAGACGATGAAGGCCTCCTTCAGCGCTGGAAAGAGCACTACCATTCATTGCTCAACCGAAAAACCCATGTGGATGTCCTGACTACCCAGCAGGTCCCTCAGCATCCAGAGCTGACCCACCTCAGCTATCCTCCATCCCTGGATGAGACAGTTACCGCCATCAAACAGATGAAAAGTAACAAGCCTCAGGGCCTGATGGAATCCCAGCCGAGGTGTATAAAGCAGGAGGACCTCTGCTTACCAGCCGTCTCCACTCTCACCTGGAGAATATATGGGAAAAGGAGGAAATCCCCCAAGCTCTTAAAGACGCTTCCATTGTCAATATTTATTTGAACAAGGGAGACCGGTCACACTGTGGCAACTACCGTGGGATCTCGCTGCTCTCCGTGGCTGGCAAGATTATCGCCCTATCCTCCAAAACAGACTTCTTCTTGAGGCGGAAAACTTCCTCCCAGAATCTTAATGTGGTTTTAGGCCATCACGTGGCACCACTGACATGATCTTAGCTGCCCGCCAGATACAGGAAGTGTGAAGAGAACAGCGTCATACATGGCTTTCATCGACCTAACCAAGGCCTTTGACTTGGTCAACAGAGAAGCCCTCTGGTGGACCCTCAGCCGTTTTGACTGCCCACCAAAATTCATCGCCATTGTGAGGCAACTCCACGATGGCATGAACGACAGTGTCCTACACAACGGCACCCAGTCTGAGTTCTTCCCCGTCCAAACGGGGGTTAAACAAGGGTGTGTACTGGCACCAACTCTCTTTTCCATTTTCTTGGCTGCCTTCCTTACTTGTGCCAGTGCCAATTTAGCCGGCGTGGTGGGCATCGAGTACCGGGTGAAGGGGGGTCTTTTCAACATAAGACGACTCCAGGCAAGATCAAAGGTGTCGACAGCTTCCATTAGTGAACTTCAGTATGCAGCCTACCTCACCCTTCTTGTTCCCATTGAACACGACCTACATGAGATCCTGAACACCTATGCAGATGCGTATGCACATTTCGGCCGTGAGGTGAATGTACATTAGCTAAAACAACCCTTAATGTTTACGAGGAATGGTAATGCTGGCGGGTGACTTCTAGTGTTAGGCTTGACTGGTAACACCCGTGAAGGCAGCTAATGTTAGCAGGAGCCGCTGGACGGGTTATGGGGCAACACCAGCGAGATTATTATGAACACAAGTAAAGTTCTCAACTACAGCGACCTACATTATGGTGCATTTTAAGGCCACGCTGTAAAATGAAGAATGTTTCCCATAATAACATTATGAATTAAATTGCGAAATAATTTTTTTTCGGCTGATTTTGAAAATATTTCCAGTCTGGGTATAAATGTTTTGTACGCCTGAGTATATCGAAGCGTACGCTATACAGACGTCTGTCTGTTTGACTGTCTGTTTATTTGCTCTTCTGTCTGCCTGTCTGTCTCTTTTGTCATTTACAATATTGATTTTCGTATCGTTATTTGAGTCCAGAAACTTATGAATGTAACAGAGAGATTGATTGATTTTTACTTTGCCACTTACAGCGGCTAGTTTATTGTGCACCCCATACTCATCCTGTGAGCGGTAGCGCAAAAGGATTATAGAGTAGAGTTTACAAAGGGTCATAATAATTAACCCCCGTTGTCAGGATATTATGGCACTGAATGTTACACAGTATTTCATTTACATTATTTGTTTAGTTCTGTACATAAATTATAACTTATTCACAATTGCTTGAGTACAGGAGTGTGAGGCAGTGTGTCTGGCCGCATACTTTGTTATTCACATTTGCGTGAGAAGTATTCAAGCACATTGTGAGAGAGAGGTCACTCACTGTTGATTCTGGGGTTGTTGGGTCAGAGGTCAAGGTCATTATTGTCAGCTCAGTTTGTGGTACTTTCTTAACTGCATTGTTTAGTTGGCGAAGGTGTTTAATTATTTTAGCGAAGGTTATGAGTTGGCGAAGGTTTTACTTAAGTTGGAGAAAGTGTCAGAATGTTTTTATTTATTAATACGTGGCGTCATCACGAAAGAAACTTGATATTAACAACACGTAAAACTTAGCCTCTAGCATATGATCCATTTTTAGTCTTTACCAATTAATAATGTTTGTATATAATTAATAGTTAAATGTTTAATTAATAGTTGTTAACGGTGTTTAATTAATTGTTGTTAATTGTGTTTAATATTGTTAATAGTGTTTAATATTGTTAATAGTGTTTAATAGTTGTTAATAGTGTTTAATATTGTTAATAGTGTTTAATAGTTGTTAATAGTGTTTAATTAATAGTTGTTAATAGTGTTTTACTCATTAGAGAGTTTGAACTGTCTTGATATACGTTACTTACTGAGGCACAGACTCAGCATAAACGAAAGCCTTTATCTAATTGAATAAAGGTTTCTCTTCCTTATTAAGAAGTTGTGTGTTGAACTCGTCAAGACCTAACTTAACCAAACTAATATACAAGGAAAATATATAATAAGAGTCTTCGTTAAACAGAAATGTCGTAGATAGAGAAAAAAGAGACAAGAGACATATTGTAAATGAAAGATGTCCGAAGTGAAACAGACCAAAAAAAGTTAAATGAGAAAAGTTAAAGATTTATTGTAAATGAGAGACCAACAGTAATTAACTCCTCATCACACCAACAACATGTGCAAGGCCAAGCAACACCACGAGGCGGGTATAGTGAAGAAATAAGGCCAGGGGTGTAGTGTAGTGAAGTGAAGTTAGGGGTGTGTGTAGTGGGTGTACGAGCGCCAGCCAGCCAGCCAGGCATCATGTCTACACAGGTTACAGGCGCCCCCACCAGTACTCTCCCCGTACCTCCACCACTTCCTCCCGATATTTTCCCGACCGTCTTCACAGTCACGTGAGTATCTTGTGTGTGTGTGTGTGTGTGTGTGTGTGTGTGTGTTTTACTTTAACGTCTGGACTGTGTGAGAGTGTGGGAGACTTTGGTTTGTTTTGTTAACGTCTGGACTGTGTGGGAGTGTGGGAGACTTTGGTTTGTTTTGTTAACGTCTGGACTGTGTGAGAGTGTGGGAGACTTTGGTTTGCTTTGTTAACGTCTGGACTGTGTGGGAGTGTGGGAACAGGTTTGCTTTGTTAACGTCTGGACTGTGTGGGGAGTGTGGGAGACTTTGGTTTGTTTTGTTAACGTCTGGACTGTGTGTGAGAGTGTGGGGAGACTTTGGTTTGTTTGTTAACGTCTGGACTGTGTGGGGAGTGTGGGAGCTTTGGTTTGCTTTGTTAACGTCTGGACTGTGTGAGAGTGTGGGAGACTTTGGTTTGTTTTGTTAACGTCTGGACTGTGTGGGAGTGTGGGAGACTTTGGTTTGTTTTGTTAACGTCTGGACTGTGTGAGAGTGTGGGAGACTTTGGTTTGTTTTGTTAACGTCTGGACTGTGTGGGAGTGTGGGAGACTTTGGTTTGTTTTGTTAACGTCTGGACTGTGTGGGAGTGTGGGAGACTTTGGTTTGTTTTGTTAACGTCTGGACTGTGTGGGAGTGTGGGAGACTTTGGTTTGTTTTGTTAACGTCTGGACTGTGTGAGAGTGTGGGAGACTTTGGTTTGTTTTGTTAACGTCTGGACTGTGTGAGAGTGTGGGAGACTTTGGTTTGCTTTGTTAACGTCTGGACTGTGTGAGAGTGTGGGAGACTTTGGTTTGCTTTGTTAACGTCTGGACTGTGTGAGAGTGTGGGAGACTTTGGTTTGTTTTGTTAACGTCTGGACTGTGTGAGAGTGTGGGAGACTTTGGTTTGTTTTGTTAACGTCTGGACTGTGTGGGAGTCTTTGTTTTCCTTCAAGGTCTCGCCACACTCCAGGAAGCGGGTACTGTGCTTGGTCCTACACGGTGGGGATGAACCAGGTGACAAAGGGCGGCGCCATTCAGGGACAAGTCGTGCCTTGGCCGCCCTCTGTGCCAGATATGCTGAACCATGAATAAATATGTTTATACAAAAAAAAATGAATGAATATTAATCTAACATAAATATACATCGTCTGACAATTAAGGTTCGCGAACTTAATTGTCAGACCTCGTATGGTGGCACTATTAGGATTCAGGAACATACGTACACATAATTGGATATATCTCACTTCATTCCTTTGAGAAAATGTCTTATAGCTTATACTGTACTGTACATATCAACGTTATGGCTTCTCTCAGTACTGATTATTACACAGCTCTCCAGTCTTCTTATCTACGAAATGCTTCTGACGACTTTATTTTTTTGTGACAGTAAGATTTTGTGTAAAGGTTTTGAAAAAAAAAAACATTAATTTATTTTTTTTAATTTTGGCGCCCGTTATCTGGTCATACAGTAATGTCTTAAATGTGTCTAGCAGTGTATTAGCCGGGGTCTTGTTTATTAACACGTCGACAGTGCCAACCTCCAACAATGTCAGAACTCTGTATGTTGAACTTTGAACCCATGACAGACACTCCAGCAGCGCCTTAACCCTAGATGCTGAACCTTGAGCCTCTGTTTGTTTACTTACGGACTCTTATCCCAGTCACCCCAGACAGTTTGTTAAGCCTGTTGCTATGTGGGGCACCGTCACCCTCCTTGTTGACGAATGAGTCTTCCAGCGGCTGTGAACTTGCTCATTAATACTTTAACTCTCTACCTTATTGTCTGGCATTTTAATGTTTCCTTAATTTATTTACAAAGTGTGCGTGTGTGTGTGCTAGTATATCTTGGGTGGTTTATTAGTGTGAGAGCTTAAGATAGGCCACTTAAGTTCGTGCCGTCGAACGAATAAACGTCTGGCGTAGCCCTAATCATAACAATGCAGGTTGGGAGAATGTCTCCAGGCGTTGGTGAATGCTCGTGCTGGCGGTGTCTTTATGGTACGAGCGTTAATATCATCACTCCTGTATTGTAACACAAGGATCCCAACTGCATAGTATCGTCAGCCTTAGTATCACGTGAACCCAGAGGAGCAAGTGTCGTCACCCTTTGTTTACTGTAGACAGCTGATTGGCGTGTTAACCTGTATACCTGTCCGTGCCTGAAGAATCTCCGCTGCAGCTTATCTCACTTAAAGATGAACCTAATCTAACACTATTGGGGGGGGGGGATGAGGTTAGGTTAGGTTGGTTAATCTTTAGGTGAAAAATACTGGGGTGGAGATTCTTCAGGTGATTTTATTTTTTGTTAAGCATTATCTGGAGTGTTGGAGTTAAACGGCTGTTGTTGTGTGTTATGAAGGTCTGGGTTTTGGTGTAGTTTATAACCGAAGAAAATTAAAAAGACAATAAATGATCCTTTGTAAATAAAGGAAGACGTAAGTACATTTGTAAGTAAATTAACTAACGTAAATATCATTTAAGTGAAAAAAAATCTTAAATACAGTATTATTGTAAGTGAGCAGCACGGTAAATATCTGTAAGTAAGAAAGTGTGTATATCTAAATTATCTACAAAGTTGCACATGTATATCGAGCAGTGGTCCTCCCCACCCTGCTATATGACAGCGAGACATGGGTCACACACAGGAGGCACCTCAAGGCACTTAAAAACTTTCACCAACGTAGTCTACATTCCATCCTCCGAGTTCGCTGGGAAGACAAGAGAACAAATGCCAGTATTCTTGCTGACACCAACTGTAGGAGCATCGAGGCTACCATCATCCATGAACAACTACGCTGGACTGGCCATGTTACCCGCATGGACGACAGTAGACTGCCAAAGCAGCAACTTTACAGTCACCTATTGAATAGTAAACGTAATGCTGGCGGGCAACTGAAATGGTATGAGGATAGTCTTAAGACAAACCTGAAAAAGTGACAATCGACCCCCTCCCCTGGAAGACTATCACTCCACACCGTAACGCTTGGAGGAGCACCACACAAGGTGTCAACACCTTTGAATTAGCCCGACTGTATGCCAGGGTAGACAAGCGGCAGCGCTGGAAAGACTCCCCGCACCTGCAACATATGTGGACGGTCCTGACGGTCCCGTATTGGCCTCTCGAGTCTCCTTAATAACTCGTATCATAGCTGGATGATCGTCATGCTCCATTCCCAGTGACCGCAAAAAAATAGTAGTGTGTGTGTGTCAGCAGTAACACCAAGTAAGCGAACGACCCCACAAGGTCAATCTAACTCCGCCAGAAATTAGCCCCGTTGGCTGCAAAAACGACCCACTGTTACCAGACACTGATGTACTACTCACGCCTGCAGTGAGAACAGTAACAGCCCCCACTTGGTAACATTGGTCTTATCTACCACTAAGCTACAACCACAACATTGTACTCTATGGGTCAGGGGAATAAGGTCTATTATGAAGGTTCAGAGGACAGGCCTTGCAGTGGTGTGTGCTGTTTTGTTTTTTATTCTTGATGCTGTTTAGGAAATCGTTTAGGGCGAAGGTTTGGTGTGATAGCCAACAGTTCTATAGTCTACATAACTTGTGTGTGTGTGTTGACCTTTCGAAACAGCTGGGTCAGGGGTCAGGGTCACAAGCGTTTACTTTAATTAATCGTGATAGCCATAAGCATTGTGTGCGAAGTAATTAATATTAGTGGTGGTTGATATCGGGAGGGAATTTTTGCATATGGAAGCGACCGAGTTGTATCCAAGGTGCTGGTGATGCCACGAGAGGGCGGTGTCAGAGAGGAAATGGAAAACTAGATATGTGGCTGAAAAAAATGGGAAGCTATAGGTTTGAGAAAGAAAATGTGAGCATATGGATTTGATAACTATGTTGGTGTAAACTTCTGGTAGAACGTTAATCTCTCAAAGGGATTAAATAATGATGTACTATACAATATTTTTCGGCCCTTAAGAATGAGTCTATTACATGTATTTAACGTTAGCATAACCGACCAGTCATGCACACGCACTTAATTGATATATTTACATTCACGCTTTCTTCATTTACAAGCCTGCGCGTTTACATACATGCCTCCCTCCCACACCACCACCCATGCCTCCTTCCCACACCCCACACCACCACCCATGCCTCCTTCCCACACCCCACACCACCACCCATGCCTCCCCACCACACCACCACCCATGCCCCTCCCCACCACACCACCCACCCTGCCTCCCTCCGACACCCCACACCACCACCTGCCCCCTGCCACACCACCACCCAAAACCCCCACCACACCACCACACCCATGCCCCTCCCACACCCCACACCACCACCCAAGCCCCCCCACCACACCACCACCCATGCCCCCCACACACCACCACCCATGCCCCCACACACCACTACTCCATGCCCCCTGTAATTTCACACCACCACCCATGCCTCCCTCCCACACCACCACCCATGCCGCGAGTAAGTCACCCTCTATGTACATAACTAAACAAAGAATTTACATGAAATACTCCATACCATTCAATGCCATAATATCCTGACCACGGGGGTTAGTTATACAAACCCTTTGTTAACTCTGCTCTGTAATCCTTCTGTGCTACCGCTTACAAGATGAGTATGGGATGCACAATAAACTAGCCTCTGTGACAAATTAAACAAAAATTAATGTTCCTCCTGTCACCCATCCCACCACCCATGGCTCCTCCCATCACCCATGCCTCCCTCCCATCACCCATGCCTCCCTCCCACCACCCATGGTGGCCTCCCATCACCCATGCCTCCTCCCATCACCCATGCCTCCTCCCACCACCCACATGGCTCCCTCCTATCACCCATGCCTCCCTCCTATCACCCATGCCTCCCTCTCCCATCACCCATGCTCCTCCTCCCATCACCCATGCCTCCTCCCATCACCCATGCTCTCCATCACCCAAGCCCATTATATCGTCGTTAATGGCATCTTCAGATTATGTAAATTTACCGAAGGTCTTTTAATCCTGGAAGTGTGTGTGTGTGTGTGTGTAATTCGTAACCCATTC